ATAGTTGGAATTGAGATTTGAATAATGCTTGCACAATTTATGTATATTCCAAGAAGCCTTTTTAAAAAAAAAAAAAGTTTTACAGGTTATTCCAAACTAAGCATCCCCAACACCAATTGGCTTCTGTGCTCACAGTACCCTGTAAATCAGGTTACTTTTATTTAGTTGCAAAATAAACTATTTAGGTGCTAACTTTAGGCCCCTATTTTGATAGTGTGTCTTAGTATTTGAAAAAGAAAATATCAGCCCATCTACAATGAATAATATGGTAGAATGACACAATCATGTGAGGACATGGGGGGAGACTAATTTTTAGCATTCTGAAATTAGTTTCTGCTGCTGACACCATAGAAGAAATCTATCGGTGGCTCAGAAGGTCACACTACTTCATGGTATTTGTATGTCAGGAATTTTACTCATTTTAGACTGTTAATTCTTAAAGTCTGTGTTTGAGCAACATTAATTTTCTCTTTGTATTGTTTGTTTTCTCATGTCTTTAAAGTTTTACTACGTGATATTTGTTCATAACTGTTAAGTTGTGAAAAAGACTTGAAGTTGATGTAAATATTTGAAATAATCTTTCCTCCCTGTTCCTTTGAGCAGTATACATGCCAGAAATAACCCTTTCACCTTTTTTGATAATACAAGCTGCATACAGTGTACCTTGGCAGGATAAGATTCCAGGTGGCATTAGAACATTTTTCCATACAATTCCATCTCCAATCTTATAATTAATGTGGGATGCACAACTCCTGTTCTTCTCTCTCTGGCTGACTTGCCTATCTGCAAGAAGCAGGAACCAATGCATACAAGAAGAGAAATATAAAAAGTTAATATTTTAATTAGGGAGACTGAAGGAAGTTTTGATAATGCCAACAAAACACTTCAAATATAATCTAATGCTGAATCCTACAGCTGTTTCTGCTTTTAGAACAAAATATACAAATAACAGAACATGAAATTGGCATTGTCTTTTCTTTTCCCCCTCCAGTAATCAGATCAGGTAGTTGTTAAGCTAGGGTCAAACCCTGGCCCACTCCAGCTCTGCAGCATGGAGCCATCTGATGCTGTGGAGCACAAATGTTCCCCAGGGCTGCAGAGTTCTCTTGGTGTGTTGGGATTAGGAGTTAGAGAGGGATCTTGTATGATAGCCAGGAAGCTCCCTCATAGTAATGTTTGTGCCCCTGTCCTCCAGCTGTCACCCACAAAGTTGAGAGTGCTGGGGATGACATCAAGGGAAGACAGTACATCTCCAGTTTCCCAGAAGAAGAGTATGGGGTGTCTCTGACTGCTGGTGGTTAAATGAGATAGGTTGAACAGCACCTAAAGCAAGCTCCTGGTTGACCACTCTACACTGGTATAGTCTGGCAGAGCAAAAACATCCTATTATGCTTATCAGGAGTTGAAAAACACATGCATGGTAATTCAAAACTCTCTGGTGTGTTTTATTTTAAATACTACTTAAGGACCCAGGATTATGGTCCCTGCTCTCCCCTCTGGCAGTTCTGGAAGAGTTGCAATAACCTCCACAGGCAAAACATGGAAAAATGGGGACAGGGAACCTCAGAGAGCAATTAGGGTGTGGGAATGTCACTGTGTAAGTCCCCAACCTGAAAGATTCTGTGCCTTGCTCTGGCAGACTGAATACAAAGCCCCTCTGTCATCTTTCTACACTGGGAACAACTGTCCTCAGTTAGTTGACTTATGAGGAGCTTGATTACATGCAGGTAGAAGGCTAATATATGTCTTGCTCCTGTGTGACTGAGCTATGATTTAGGCTTTGACCAGGGTGTCCTTTGTCTGGCCAGGCCTACTAGCAGCTGACTATATAAACATCAGTGTGTGGTGGTTGATGTGATCTAACTGCTTCAGTTTGTGTTCGTGATATTGTCCTAGATGTTTGTCCCTGGTGGTCTTTGATAAGTCCTGTCAATGGATTTCTTTGAGTGTCCTGATGAATGGTCTCTACAGTTCTCCCAAATGCTAATCAGAGAATATCAGGGTTGGAAGGGACCTCAGGAGGTCATCTAGTCCAACCCCTTGCTCAAAGCAGGACCAATCCCCAACTAAATCATCCCAGCCAGGGCTTTGTCAAGCCTGACCTTAAAAATATCTAAGGAAGGAGATTCCACCACCTCCCTAGGTAACGCATTCCAGTGTTTCACCACCCTCCTAGTGAAAAAGTTTTTCCTAATATCCAACCTAAACCTCCCCCACTGCAACTTGAGACCATTACTCCTTGTTCTGTCATAACTACCACTGAGATCAGTCTAGATCGATCCTCTTTCGAACCCCCTTTCAGGTAGTTGAAAGCAGCTATCAAATCCCCCCTCATTCTTCTCTTCCGCAGACTAAACAATCCCAGTTTCCTCAGCCTCTCCTCATAAGTCATGTGTTCCAGTCCCCTAATCATTTTTGTTGCCCTCCGCTGGACTCTTTCCAATTTTTCCACATCCTTCTTGTAGGGTGGGGCCCAAAACTGGACACAGTACTCCAGGTGAGGCCTCACCAGTGTCGAATAGAGGGGAACGATCGTGTCCCTCGATCTGCTGGCAATGCCTCTACTTTTACATCCCAAAATGCCATTGGCCTTCTTGGCAACAAGGGCACACTGTTGACTCATTTCCAGCTTCTCGTCCACTGTAACCCCTAGGTCCTTCTCTGCCGAACTGCTGCCAAGCCATTCGGTCCCTAGTTTGTAGCGATGCATGGGATTCTTCCGTCCTAAGTGCAGGACTCTGCACTTGTCCTTGTTGAACCTCATCAGATTTCTTTTGGCCCAATCCTCTAATTTGTCTAGGGCCCTCTGTATCCTGTCCCTACCCTCCAGCGTATCTACCCGTGACCCCTTCAGCCTCTCCCCCAGAACAAGCATATACTTTTTGTTAAAATTTCATTAGAATCAGTACCTCCTCCTCAAATTCCTGTCAGCTCTTTACTTACAAGAGCTCTTACTCTGCCACTTTGTTCCCATCTCACGGTTACTTTTGCTGCCCTGCCTCTCTCCTAACTATTTGAATACTTGCTTCTCTCTACAATATCACGTCTTTCTTCAAATCACCCAACTAGCAGACTCTGTTTCTCTGATGGTCTCCCCACTCCAACTGCTGTTTCCCAGTTGTCACAGGCCTCTCCAGTCTGGTTACCATGGGGCTCCCTCAGCACACCAGCAGGATTTACATGGGCCATTTGTCAAATATGCAGTGAAAGCTCATTTCTAACTATACCCTGATTACTGGGGCATGGCAAAAGTATTGTGTAGCACAAGATTTATGATGTACAAACCCTAAATGAGAAGCAATTATGTGTGATTTAGATTCACTTTTTAAATAAAATGAAATGGCAGTCATATTAAGACCAATGTGTGCTAAATCCCTATTTATAGTTAAAATTTAAAATATTAATAGACACTGTATGTAGCTTTTGAAGAGTTATTGATGAGTAAAACGTGATAGATATATGATGTAGGTATGACGAGGTATAGATACGGGATGAGATAAATATATGTCATTAAGAGCGTATGGTAATTTTTCCAGCATATTTTTGATGAATATAGCACAGGTACTTCTTTTTAAAAAAAGAAACACATCCATATATGTGTTTGTGTGTGGTTAGTGACTGTAAAGATAGTGGGGGAGTCTGAATATGCCTCAGGAATAGTTCAAATGCATATCGCAAGAAGCTCTGGTTCATAGAACTTTCCATGGATGCGGGGTATTTATTCCTCTGTTGCAAGCTGACATCACTTGGCAGCTACATATCCCATCTTGCTTAATGCCTGTAATGTTTTTCTTTTTGATCCTTTGAATCTTCCACTGACTGACAGAAGCCAATGAGGAAGGAGAAAGACACATCAACATAGTCTGACTTTGGTCTTCCCTAGGGTAGTACCTCCACGAGACATGACCCTAGGAATTCCCTGACACTGATCAGCTGTGACCCCTTATATTATCTGAACAAATCTTCAGTGATCAGAGAGCATGTGCTGAATTCTCACTCCCTATTCACGTCTAACCTGAATCACTTGGAAAGGAATGCAGTAACTTTGTTTGACATACAGATGTACAAAAATGAATTATGTGCATATTTAAAATGCCTTTTAAGGGTGACATAAAACACACACATTACAAGGTGAAAATTCCAGCTGGGGAAGTTTAATACTTGGCTACTATTAATTGTTGTTGTTTGTCGCCCTCAAAGGAAATGCCCCGGTCTTTCTGTTTTAGCATTGAGCAGGTAATGCTGAAGCACGTAGTCTTAAGCCTTGGTAGCTATTATAGCGTCCTGGTCATTTAAATGGGAAGTAGACAAAAAAAATTCTTCCAGCTACAGTTTAGTGTGCCAAATTCAGTTCACATGGTGGCACTAGAATGGAAGTTATTGCCCTGTTGGAGTTGGTAATTTAGTTGGCTGGCAGAAGTAATTCTTAGTGCTTTATACTTCCTGTGAGTTGTGCAAATGGATAGTAAATGGTAAAAAATCAGGAAGAAAGCAAACGTTGTACAGACTTGTTAAATTGTGGGGGTGGGAGTTGGCTGTGTGTTTTCCAAACAACATTTGGTTGGGAAAATTGAATGTCAGGGTAACGCACTGATCATAATGACAGATGCTGGCAATTGGATGACTATGGAGAATTTTATCTCCACTTTTAAACCACTAGAGGATGGTTCCTCTGGATCAGATGTTAAGGAATAGTGATGAGTGAGGAAACTGGACCTGCAGATGTTTGTACAATACATCATCTGTAAAGAGAATTCAGAGCGACCAATGTGAGGCTTTTCACGACCACCAAATTTAATGCAATGCATACAAACAAACAAACTCTTATAGGCTGCTATGCCATAGTAGTTAGTAGGAAAGCAGTTCTGTTGTGGGGTTCACAGGTGAATGCAGATATTATACAGGGATATTATTAAGGTTATCCTCTGTTTCACTTCGCTTTCTTAGCTCAGAAAAAGGAGTGCAATAGACAGCATACTAACGATGTGTATCTGTTTCAGTTTGCAGCTCATCTAGTGCAAATCAAATATCCAAGAGTCTGCATTCTGGATGGAGGCATAAACAAGATCAAGCCAACTGGTCTTCTGACGGTTCCTTCTCCACAGATATGAACCACTACAAATTTTGAGAGAATTTAAAGTTAGAGGGTTCTGTCGACTGTGTGTGAGCATCATAAACCCTAAGGGCATTAAGACATCTGCAGTATACAAGAAATCCAGATTATTAGTGTCTTTCCATGTGGATCTGGAGTGAAAGAGCTTTTGATTTTATCATTTGACATGGAACTTCAATTGGACTGGATGAAAAATGTGAAGCTTTAAGTCTGGCAAGGGACTTCTTTCAGCAGCAATGAAATCTGCATCGAGCATTGTCAGATTCCAGTAGAAAAGCAGTGTAGCTCAGGTAAATATTTAGGGTCTATACATATTTCAGCAAAACAGGAGAAACCATTGCCAGAGAGATCACAGTTGCATTAAATAGATTATGTTTTAGAAATATTTTAGAGAGTGAACATTGAAAGTAATAGGCTGAAATTGTATCACACACATCTTACTACAAAGAACACTTTTTTTCTATCAAATCTTTAAAGAATAAATGCTGCATTTAATGATCCACTTTTGCTCTGGGCAGCTGTTTTCTGATCTGAGCAGGAAAAGAAAATAAATAAATCCCAAACTGGAAATCAGTGTTCGGAGTGCTGCTGAATATATCCAGATATATACCTTCTTTTAGAGAATTGTTCATTCAGATTTCCTTTGCTCTGTTATTACCGTAGCTGTTGCAGAGTAGGCCTCATCCTGTGCAAATAATTTAATGACGTTTCCTGAAACATGAGAATTCTTAAAATATGCAGGAAAAGTAGGCTTCTGACTGTACTGTGGGAAGTGACAAAAGATTAATTAGCCAAACAATAATAATAGTGGTCCATGTTTGAAACACTGATGAAGGAAAAAAAGCAGTTCTGTTTTTTCACACGATAGGACTCCCCAACCTTTCATAGAAATGTACATTCTAATTGAAGGTGGAAAAGGTGTACTGGGTGATCTACTTTATTCCACCTGCCAATGTAGTCACTTTTTGAAGGATCACTTCTTGAGTCTGAACTTTAAAACTGACACACTGATTCAGCAGTCATATCTCTAAAATAAAATATATGCCAGTGCTGCAGTTTTGTGAAACCAAGTACCACAAGTGGGATGAGATGGTTTTGGGTAAAGAGAATTTGGAAATGACTTCAAAAAGTGACTACATTGGCAGGTGGAATAAAGTAGATCACCCAGTACACCTTTTCCACCTTCAATTAGAATGTACATTTCTATGAAAGGTTGGGGAGTCCTATCGTGTGAAAAAACAGAACTGCTTTTTTTCCTTCATCAGTGTTTCAAACATGGACCACTATTATTATTGTTTGGCTAATTAATCTTTTGTCAGAAGTCAGAAGCCAAGAGTGTCAAAATCAGAGATAGGAACAGGAAATGGGGTCTGTCTGCTGCCAAGGAGCTAAAAGGGAGGGTGACTTTATTTTTTGTTTTGTTGTTTGTTTGATTAAAGGCTTTATTTGTGTGAGACTCACCTTTTGATTATGGTGAAAAATATCTGAATTCTATGCCTCATAATTTTAGCTTAACCACAGTTTAGCCCCAGCTTTGCTATGGTTCCAAAAATTCATTTTTCTAAGTAAAATTTTTAAAAAAACCTCTAAAAATCTACAATAATCTATATCTTCCTGTACATCACTGATAAAAGTACAATATCTTTAATCCCAAAAGATGTGATGCAGGCTGTAGGCTCCCTAAATCAATAGCATTAAAATAAATGTATTGTGCTCTAATGCCCTGAGAGCAAGAGCCAGTGAGGGAGGGCTGATGTGTAAAGGGAAAAAACTTTGAGATGGTACTAAGAATCTTCCTATAACTTTAAAATTAGAAAACTTCCTTGTGCATTCTTCTGAGTATTATCTGATTTTATAATGTGGTTGTAGATATTAAAGTAGCTTGTAAAATAAAAAAGCATTAAAGATTTGTTAGTGTGAGCAGATGGGAGTTTGTCATTTGAGTTGACACAATGTTCCTTTTTTTAGAGTGGTCCATGAACTATAAAGGTTTACAATAAAAGTACAGTGTTAGTATACAAGGACTTACTCTGGAAAAAGTGACTAAAACTAGTGCTTGCCCTAGTTTGGGAATTCATGTGATGATTTGGTTTTAACTTTGCAAATAGAGCATTGCAGCAGCTCAGTATATTTACATTTTTTCTTTCCTTATGTCATAAAAGATTAATTTCCAATATTAAGCCATTTGAAGAAAGGCTAAATACGGACCATGTGCTCTTCTGTAGATCGCCGACAAGATTATCTCATAACTGAAACCGTGGAAGATCAGCGTCCTAGAGGGAGCTGTTCCACCAGAGCACTTGGATCTGGACTGCTCAATGAGCAGAAAGTTTTATTCTGAAGTTGCTTCAGAGGTTCACTTGTGGCACACCATTAGCAATTCTTGATATCACCAGGTGACTGTGATCTGAGCAGCCCTATATACTGCATTATTCTTCATACATGGAAATGTATGTCAAGAAAAAAATTATTTACATGGACAGGAGTCACAAAAAAAGAAACGTGCAAGACCAGGAAATGCACAGAATCATTGAGCAACATCTAATTACAGTGAAGCAATTAGAAATGTGTTATGCCATTTACCTTAACACTTGTATAACTTAAACTGGACTAGATTGAGTTGCTAATGTGTAGCACTACTTATTACTTTGTTACTGACATTTTAAAAGGCTGAATAGATGGAATGAGGATATGCAAAACTTGAGACATTTTAAAGAAAGGAATTGCACATCATTTCTAGACTCCACTTTTATTGGTGTGTCTCAGATAGGCAGGGGTGAAAGTAATATAAAGGATTTACCGTTACACCGGAGTCCTGAGCAGGGGGCGGGGCCTTGACTGGAAGAGGTGGGGCCTTTAGAGATTAAATTGAGATTTAAAGGGCATGCGGCTCCGGCTGCGGTAGAGGCGGCTGGGAGCCCTGAGCCCTTTAAATCACCGCCGGAGCTACCAGTTGCGGAGGTGGCTGGGAGCCGCGGGGGGCCATTTAAAGGACCTGGGGCTCCGGCCACCGCTACCGCAGCTGAGCCCCGGGCCCTTTAAATCACCACTCGAACCCTGCTGCCAGAACCCCGGGGTAGGAGCAGTGGCAGAGGGCTCCGGCAGTGATTTAAAGGGCCCGGGGCTCCTGGCCACTGCTACCCACAGTGGAGCCCCGGGCCCTTTAAATTGCTGAAGGAGCCCCAGGGGCTCCGGCAGCAGGGCTCGGATGGTGATTTAAAGGGCCTGGGGCTCCAGTCACTGCTACCACCCTGGGCCCTTTAAATTGCTGTGCGAGCCCTGCTGCTGAAGCCCCTGGGGTAGCGGCGGTGGCCGGGGTCTCTGGTGGTGATTTAAAGGGTCTGGGGCTCCTGGGCCCTTTAAATTGCCTACAAGTGCCCTGGGGGCTCCCGTCTGCCACCGCTACCTCAGGGCTCTGGCGGAGATTTAAAGGGCCCGGGGCTCTGCTGTGGTAGCGGCGGCTGGGAGTCCTGGGCCATTTAAATCACCACCGGAGCCCTCAGCCGCCACTACGGCAGCAGGGCTCGGGCGGCAATTTAAAGGGCCCAGGGCTCTGGCTGCTGCTACTGCCCCGAGCCCTTTAAATCGCTGCTGGAGCCCTGTTGCTGGAGCCAGCAGAGGTTTAAAGGGCCCCGGACAGTAGTGGCGGCCAGAGCCCTGGGCACTTTAAATCACTGCCTGAGCCCCGCTGCCGGAGCCCTGGGGTAGCGGCGGCTGAGGGCTCCGGTGGTGATTTAAAGGGCCAGGGGCTCCCAGCCACCGCTACTGCAGAGGAGCCCTGGACCCTTTAAATCGCCGATGGAGCCCCAGGGCTCTGGCAGCAGGGCTCTGGTGGCAATTTAAAGGGCCTGGGGCTCCAGCCACTGCTGGGAGCCCCAGGCCCTTTAAATCACCACCTGGGGAAGCCGGTCTCGTACGGCGCACCGACTCTTGCTGGTATGCCATACCAGACCTTACTGGCTTACTTTCATCTCTGCAGATAAGTATTTGTTACAACTAAAAAAATATCACCACACACAATCAGTCTTGCAGTCTGAGAGCTCTTCATGGAAATCTTTGTGTATCTGGATTCTGTTGTTATGCCAGTTCCAGCACTCAGTGACAAAATTTGATTTTATCTTTTCCTCTTAGAAGTGTGAGATTCTTGTAATTGTTTGGTAACTTGTTCTCGCTACAGAGTTCTGTTTTTATGCTATCTGATTTAAAGGAGAAAAGTAGACCTGTGTTTTGGTCATTGATATTCTCACACTACATCTATTTCACCAGTTCTGGCACTGCTGGGAAGTCCTGCTGTTGGCATGGAGGTATGCCAAACTGCCAGGATGTCCAATGAAAGCAATAGAAAAATGACATCCACTATGCCCTTCTTCTAGCAGTCCCATTCCCCCTTGGCCTTTACAGGCCATTATGTAATTGCTGTTCTGCAATATGTTCTCCGCAGCCCCAGTACTCGGCCCAGAACCATCCTCTGATATTTTCATTATGTTCTCCTTCCAAAGGTTTTTCTGGCACCCAAAGATATTTGTGTAGTGAATTTTTTGGGCAAAGGCAGTTAGTTCTCACATCCTTGATTTCTCTCCTGCCTTTATGCTTGGCAGGGCCCTTCCTTTCTGGCTATAACTTTGTCCCTTCCTCAACCTCATTCCTCTGATTCCAGAGAAAGTTCTCCATGGTCCTGTCAAATGTTGCCAATTCAGGGTGGTCCTTACTCATCTAGGAGTAGCCAAAAATGACTATGATGTGCCACTCACCTCAAGGCAGATGTAGGCCAGGTTCCAATCAATCATTTTTCCCCAGGACTGCACCTTGAGGTGGTGGGAGGCTTGCATGCTCCAGTGACCCTGAGAGCTGTGCTTGAGGGAACAGAATTCCTGGAAGGGCCATCCAAATCAGACAGGTCAAAGAATAGGAGCCAGATTAAAGGCAGTCCACCAGTCCTGGTAGGGAGTTGTGAATGAGGCTAACAACCTATCTATGCAAAAATACTTTCCGTTACAGAAACAATGCAGAGAGAAGACCAGTCTGCCACAGATTTGACAATACAGGCATTAACAGTGGAGAACCACAGTCTGTTGGACAAAAGACAAGTTACTGGCCAACCAGCAATCCAGCCAAAACGATGATGATGGAAAATCAAAGTTGCAAGGAAGTTCTTAATCTGAAATGGCATTAAGGTTAAGACAAGAACTGGGTGTTGGAATGTTAGCTCACTTTGGAGCATAGGTAGACTGATACAAGTTATCAGAGAAACGAAAATTTGGCCTAAGTATACTTGGATTGAGTAAGAGGAGGTAAATTGAGACAAATTATTGTTGGAAGGTGTGATTGTTTTATATACTGGAAGAGAGGATGATGCACACAGGGAATGTGTAGGTTTATTATTTAGCAAAGAACTTACTGAAAGAATGGGAACCTGTAAACTCAAGAATAATGACTACTCACTTTGTGACAAACCTCGCAAAAGTCACAGTTCAGTAGTATGTGCCAGCGAACATTAGCAAAGGATGGTTCAAAGACAGTTTCTATTGATTGCAGAGCCTCCTTGATAAGATCTGTAAATATGTCATTGTCTTATGGAAGATCAAAATGCACAGGTTGGTGATGATAATACTGATATGAATACATTATGGACAGATGTGGCATTCCCAAGACAGATGACAATGGTGAATGATTTTGTTGAACTCTGCATGCTAAGCAATCTTTGCATTGGGATTACACTTTTCCACACAAGGAAAGCCCGAAACTGACATGGATAGCAAATGATGCTTCGCCCAGAAACAGCATACTCATGTCGCTATTAGTAGGCGGTGGAGAAGATCTCTGTTGGATGCCAGGGTGCTTATAGGTGCTGATATCAAAAGTAACCTCCATCTTGTTATTGGGACAATCAAAATAAAACTCAAGAAAGGTGTCAGCATGCAAGGTAGAGGATATGGATGATACGAGAAAGTTAGTAGATCCATCTGTGTAAGCACATATTGAGCTGCAACTTCACAATGGATTTGAAGAGTTAAAGACACTGATGGAGAACATAGAAGAATAATGACAGTTTTTCAGAGAAACAACTGTGGATGCAGCCAGGAATACAATGGGGGTGAGAAGCTTTCAAAAAGAAGAATGGTGCCAACAAATACATGGAGATTTGTTGGATTCTCTAATTCAAGAACAAGACAGCAGAAAAGGAGCTATTCTGCAACAAGAATATGTGGACAAACAAGAAAGTTAAAGGATCATCTAGAAGAGATAATAGAGAATGAATGGAAAACTAAGCAAGAGAAGCTGAGGAGGTGTACAAGAGAGGAGATTCTAAAAAGCTTTTTTTAGTATCTACACAACTGGTATCACAGTTCTCGAACCATTGTGTCCTGTTGAAGGCTTGAGTTGGTACAATTCTAACCACAGAGAGCCTGTTGGATGAAACATTTCCAGGCTCTGCTTGACCAGCCAGAACCATTAACACATATTGAGAGAGAGGAAAATCTGCTATTTCTTCATGTCACAAGAAATAATTGCCTTTGATGAAGTAAATGAAGCTATAAACCAACCGAAGAGTGGTAAAGCATGAGGCTATGACCATATAGATATTGAAATGTTAAAAGCTAGGGAGAAAATGATGGTAAATTACATGTGCAGGTTGTACAGATTGGTTTGGGAAAAGGAGATCTTTCCTAAAGATTGAGGAAGAGGTATTATCATCTGCAAAATTCCTGAAAAGGGGGACAAGCTTATTTGTGATAACTGGAAAGGGGTGACACTGCCACCTGCAAAAAATTTTGTATTATTTTGATTTGAATAGGATGAAAACTGCTGTTGACAAAGTACTCAGAGAGGAATAGGCTGGATTTCAGTCCAGAAGGTTGCATTCAGACCAGATTTTCGCATTTGAGAGGACTCATTAAGAGAGATTTAAAATACCAGCAGAAGATAATTTCCTTGATTTCATAAAATCATTTGATAGAGTTCAGACAGAAGCCCTCTGGAAGATCCTGAGACACTAAGGAATTCCAGCAAGGATTGTTAATTTGTAAAAGCTTTGTTTGCCAAGCCTGTGTGCTGCATCAGGACAGAGAGCAGAGACCCACAATGATTTAAGATTGTTACTGGCGTAAGGCAAGGTTGCATATGATCTCCACTTTTCTTGTGCCTTGTAATGAGAAAAGTGACCATGGCTGCTGAGGGCAATGTGTTCAGGCAAGAGAAAAGATGCATGATTTAGATTTTGCAGAGTATATGGGTTGTATATGTGTCTGGATGTGGGCTTGAATGGCAGGGTCAACCACCCAAATCTCCCTCATGTGAGTACTGGTGACACAAGAAGGATGCTCTTCTGGGCATCTGTTAGCTGGAGTTTAAAGCCACAGACTATACATTGAAGGAGTTAATCCCTTCCCAGGAACACAGAACTTCAGCAACCAGAAGGCTGTGTCTTACATTGTCATACAGTGAGACACACTGAGCTCCTGTCTTTGATCAGAGGTGATCAGGATTCTGGGCCTAAATAATAGATATGTGCAGTCTCCAGAAATTCAGAATATAACGTACAACAAAGGCATGCTATTATATTTGGTCTACAGTTGCAACCTGGGTGTAAGCCCTAATGAAGCTTCTTCAGTCAGAGAATGTTTATATTTTCTCTTCTTTGGTTTTCACAAAGGCATGAGTTCATATGTTGATATCAGGAGCTATGAGAATCACAGTGGCCTTGTTTTCCCCACTTTTCAAAATATCTTTTCCTATCAAAAGGATTAGACAGGCCTGTGATGGGTTGGGTCACAGAGACACCCGCCCCCCCCTTGAGACTGTCACCTGATGTGCTGAGACTGCCTCTGAGCCCATGTTCCCTGGCAGCATGAGACTTCAGTACCCTGTCTTTTTGAGCCAGATACACTAGCCTGCTGCAAACACAGACCCAGGTCTGAACCATGTCCCCCAAAAGCTGCAGACTAAACTGAAAACAGCTTAAGAAGTGCTTCTGTCTCCAGCACCCAGATACCCAGTTCCCAATGGAATCCAAACCCCAAATAAATCTGTTTTAGTCTGTATAAAGTTTATACAGGGTAAACTGATAAATTGTTCTCCCTCTATAACATTGATAGAGAGAGATGTACAGCTGTTTGGTGTCCCAGAAATTAATTACTTGCTCTGGGTTAATTAATAAACAAAAAGTGATTTTATGAAATATAAAAAGTAGGCTTCCAAGTAATAACAGACAGAACAAAGTAAATTACCAAGCAAAATAAAACAAAAACACACAAGTCTAAGTCTAATACAGTAGGAAACTAAATGCACGTAAATCTCACCCTCAGAGATGTTCCAATAAACTTTTGGCACAGATTAGATTCCTTCCTAGACTGGGTCCAGCAATCATTCACACCCCCATAGTTACTGTCCTTTGTTCCAGTTTCTTTTAGCCTCTCCACCCCAAAGAGATGCCTATCTTCTGAGACAGCTGAAGACAAAATAGAGGAGTTTCCAGGGCCTCTTATATTCTTTCTCTTGTGGGAAACCCCTTTGTTCCCCTGTGCAAAATCACAACAACAAGGTGGAGTCTGTAGCCACCTGGGCAAGTCACATGTCTATGAATGATTCAGCTTTTTGCAGGCCAATGCCATTGTTTATATGTTAGTTTTAACATTCCCAGGAAAGGTCAGATGTGGATTAGTGTCTCCCGAAGTCCATGGTCAGTTAAGTGTTTCTTGATTGGGCACTCACTGAGAATAGTCCTTTCTCAAGAAGCTGACCAAATGCTTCACTTAGGCTACTTAGACTCAAACAAATGCAAAGCCAATATTCATAACTTCAACTACAAAAATGATACACACATATAGACAGCATAATCAAAACCAGCAAACTACAACCTTTCCATAGACACCCCACTTGACCTCCTCTGTATAAGAACTGGTGCAACCCTGGTTGCAACAATGATCTATATAGTCACAGTTTATGTCAATGTCACAAGGCCTACCACTCTCCTATATGAAGTTGGAAACTTAATTTGCTCCTATAAGCCTTGTCCCATCACCTTTTGAGTCACCATACTGTGTTCTCATACTACTTTTCCCTGGGTTCACCCTGCACAGATCCACTAAGAGTGCTTAATGAACTATTATCTCTTCCAGAAGATTATTTCTGTCCAGGAGGAACCAACTTCTTTTGATCTGTGAAGACTGATTTGACATCAGGCTTGTGTGTTTGGCTAGAAAAATATTTTTTTCCTTAACTAATCCCACCTTTCTAATGCCAGCATCATCATCCTTTTTGATTTGCAGCTTGCGAAACAAATTGATGTCAGAGATGACTATCTGTTTTTGGAAGAAGTTTATATAGTCTCCCAGGTAAGTGTTAAGCTATTAATTTTGTGGTGAACAATACTCTAAGTGATATCACTGTAATATCGGTAGGACAACTAAATCTGTAGTCTATTCATTATCTTAACAAACCCATTTAGTATCATCATAATCACATTACTGAACAAAAGTTAATGTTGCAGGGGGCTGTCCCAGCTGTCAGTGTGAAATAATCCAATATCTATTATGTGCAGTTTAAAAAATATGACTGGCAAAGTGCAGGATCTGTTTACACTGACTACACTGTATTTTTGGTGTCATGCATTGGATGAGTTTAGATTAGACATAATATATTGCTTGCAAAGCTTTTGGGCTCCTTCCAAAACCTGTTCAATCATACTGTAAATCACTATGATGGTTTTGTTCTAAATCAACTTGTTGTTGTCTCTTGGTGTTATTACTACAGGATGCCCTCAGACAATACACACTTGTAATTCAACTATTTTATTTCTAGATTAAAATTTTATTATACACTTTAGCAGCCATGTTCCATGATGCACTGATACATAACAATGCCCAGGACACAGTAACCTGTCTAAGGGAAGAGATAAAGTACATAAACACATGGATTTATGCAGTAATCATTATGTTAAATGAGATGAGCATAGCCAGAAGTTAGAGAGCCAACTTCAGAGTGATTACATTGAGTTACTGACTACAACAGTCTTGAACTGAAGGGGGCCAAAAATCTATTTATTTATTGATTGATTTGATTGATTGATTGCCAGATATGGTATCTAGCACAACATACTCTTACAAAGAAGTCTTCGTGGTTTTAGTTCTGGTGAAAGGTGCCAGTTTGATGGATCAGGGGAATAAAGTCTTAAAACAGAAGTCTTAGGCGTCTACAGAACAGGAATATGGCATAATTTGTTTTTTGGGAGGTCCAGTGTTTAGGGTGCTAGCTTGGCTTGTGGGAGGTCTGTGCTCAGTTCCCTTCTATAGACTTCCTGTGTGACCTTAGGCAAGTCACTTAGTCTCTCTGTGCCTCAGTTCCACATCTGTAAAATTAGAATAATAGCACTGCTTTATCTCTCAGTGGTTCTATGAGGAGAAATACATTAAAGATTGTGGTACACTCAGATACTGTAGTGATGGGGACCATATAGGTACATAAGAAAAGGTAGATACTTTGTTCTTTGGAACAAGTGAGTCCTTTGCTTTTCTAACATATCAAGCAGTCAGAAGCATGTGACAACCTGACTCCACCACCCCGATGTGGGGAAAATGGACCTGGAGCTACGGAACAGAGCAGAGAGAAGCTTGAAGGACAGGGAGGACCTCATCCAGCTGGGCTATGGGGTATGTCTCAGGGTACTCCTGGACTCTAAAGAAAACAGTCTGGTGGGACTAGAGGTTCTCCTCACCCCCAAATCTTAAAATGACTCCTAAATGTCCTGGGGGAAGGGGCCCATAAACAGTCCCCCTCCCTCCCAATTGAGCAGAAGGATGGAGGCAGCAAACCTCTCCCTGCTCTAGAGGACTGGGAGCCCTGGAGGAATCAGAGAATTCCCTAGAGGGCTTCAGGCACTGTGGAAGGCAAGCTGTAAAATACCTCATCAGAGCCACAGCAGGGCACCTTGGCCTGTGAGGCGGGCTACAAGGGCAAAGAGACCAACAAAGAGCAAAAAGAGAAAAAGGGTTGGGGGACAGGGAGGAATGTGCTCTCTGACTCTTCCTCCTCCTCCCTCCCTCCCTCCCCCCCCCCCCCCCGCGCAGAGAAAGGAGAGCTATTGAGCTGTGTAGCTGAGCAGGCTCAGGAGAAGACACAGCACAGATTCTCCATCCATCCCCACCTGCACAGTTTGAAGCCATGTACAGAAAGGTTGTATCTACCATACAGATCCAGCCTCAACAGGCTTCAGAAAGCAAGCCTCAACTCAAATATGTACCCTCAGAATCCTCTCCTAAGGCTTCAATTCCTTGTACTCTTCCTTTGAGGATGTGATCATGGAGGAGTGGGACAAGCCTGACAAAGGCAAACATATCAGTAAAAATCTCTTTGGGTTCTACAGGCTACAGGAGCCAAAGAACTCTGTTGCTGAGGTCCCAAAGGTCAATGCTGCTGTTGCATCCCTAGCAAGTGATATGGTTATCCCCTCAGAAGGAGAATTTTTCCCTAAGGACCAGACAGGAAAGTGGAGACCACTCTCATAGAAAGACTTTGAGGCCTCTTCGCCTAACTTAAGGGTGTGTGTCTCAGCAACATGCTTTGCTAGAGCATGTCTCCTGGCTGGAGGATCTCAGGGTACTGAGGGACAGAGATCACACTTATTTCAGCCCTACTCTTAAAAATCTCCGTAGCAGCAGTGTTTCTAGCCAAAACTTCACTGAATACAACAAAGTTTTCAGCCAGTTCCATGGCATCCACATGGAGCTCCAACCTTGGAAGGTGGATTCCCACTCTAAACAGGTGGTGTGCTCAGCAAAATGTACAGACTCCATTCTCTTTGGACCAAAGCTAGACAAAGTGGTGGTGAAAAATTAAAACAAAAACAAGCAGTTCCTCCTGTCCTTGTTAAGTGCCCTCCGGAAAGAATACAAGCCAATGTTCAGACAGAGATTCTCCTTTCACCTCTCTACCTCGCAGAAGTACCAGTGAAGAGAAAGCAGATTCTTTACAGGTAAGCCCTGAAATCAAGGTTTGGGAGGGAAAGCCCAGAGGTGGCCCCGCAGCCTCCAAGACCACCTCATGGTAGTGATCATATGTGTCTACTCCCAGAACTGAAGCTAGGAGGCAGAATTTCTCACTTCACGGAGCAGAGGTACGCATCCACAATGGACATATCGGTGAAGGACACAGTGAGCAAGGAGTACTCCCTCAAACTTTAGGGCTCCACCTTATCCTTTCTTCATCCAGTCACTCATTTCCAGCAGCCCCGAAAAACATGAGCTAACCTAGAACAAGACTTCTCATCTTCTGGATAGAGGAGTATTAGAAAGCATGCCCTCAGAAGAAACAGTCTTAGGGTTTTACTCCATCTTCTTTATGGTCCAGAAGTTTGAGGTGGGGGAGTTAGAGCCATCCTCGACCTCAAGAGGCTCAGCAGCTGGCTGCCAAGGACACAGTTCCAAATGGTAACCTTGGCCTCAACAGTGCTTTGTTTTCTCAAGGAGACTTCCTGACATCAGTGGATCACGTCACTGCAGACTCCTGAGATTCCTTTATGGCAGGAAGCATTACCAGTACCAAAACCTGCCTTTTTGGACTGTGTTTGGTCCCCAGGGTCTTTACAAAAGTAAGGTAGTGATTATAGCTAGGCTCAGGGCACAGTGTATACCCTGTCTCGACAACATCCTGATAAGAGCCCCGTCCCAAGCCAAGGTGCACAAAGCCACAGCTCGGACTCTGGACCTCCTAAAAGCATATGGTTTTGCCTTCAATGTAAAAAAGAGCTCCCTGATTCCTTCAACCATCATCTCTCACCTAGGAGTGGACATAGAAAAATCTCTCCGCTACTTGAAAGGTTCTACAAGATCCAGGATCTTGTCATCTGTGGAAGTCGTACTATAGCACAGTGTTTTCAGCTTTTGGGCCTTCTGATATCATGTATCGGAATCCTCAATTGGGAAAAATCGCACAACAAGTGCCTTCAATCCTTTCTCCTAGAATCACTCCCCAGGACACATGAAAGACCAAGTACAAGTCCCAGTCCAGGCACTCAGCTCCCTAAAGTTGTAGACCATCCATGGGAACAGTGGTTCTCAACCTTTCTGGACTACTGTACCCCTTTCAGGAGTCTGATTTGTCTTGTGTACCACACCTCACTTAAAGACTACTTGCTTACAATATCCGACATAAAAATACAAAAGTGTCAGAGCATGCTATTACTGAAAAATTGCTTACTTTCTCATTTGTCTATATGAAATTTTAGTTTGTACTGACTTCGCTAGTGCTTTTTATGTAGTCTGTTATAAAACTAGGCAAATATCTAGATAAGTTGATATACCCCCAGGGTATGCATAGCCCTGGTAGAGAGCCATTGCATGACAATATCTGCAAAGGCCTGTCCCTATGCCTTCCAGATTCTCTTGTCTTTACTTTCATACGACCGTGAGGAGCTGGGGAGCTAGGGTGCTCATCTGGGTTTTCTCACCACCCAGGGAACTTGGAACCTAGAGGAAGCATAAATCTTTTAAAATGGAGAGCAGTCACGCTAGTAACTTTTTCAGTACTGTGAACTTAAAGATGCTCGAAAAAGTTTGTACACCCTTTTACGAAAGTTCTGGATCTCCCTGAAGGGAAATCACATCCCAGTTCAGTCAGACAACACAATTACAGTAATGTACATAAACAACCAAGGCGGGACAGGGAGCCCAAAGCTACATGTAGAAGTGATAAAAATAATGAAATCACAGAGCAGTCTCTCCTGTCTCTCAGAGCGATGCACATAAAATGGAAACTGTACCAGAAGGTGGACTGGCTCAACAGGTGCAAGCTCAACAATCTGGAGTAAAGTATCGAGGACATTCATTCTTGCAGCCGATTTTGTTTGCAAGCCACAAGAATACAAAGAGGCCAAGGTACTTCTCCAGGGACATAGATTCCGACTCCATGGCCCAGATGGCCCCCGGGCCTACTTCGTGTTCCCACCTTTCCTCTTCTGGGGAAAGTGATTCAGAAAATAAGACAGGAGTGGGGGGCCAGTCATATTGATAACTCCCTATTGGCCAAAGAGATCTGGTTTTCTGACCTGTTTGACCTGACAGTAGAGTCTCCAATACAGTTACCACAGAGACCTGATATCATCTTGTAAGGGTAGTTTCTCCATCCAGATCTAGACCAGTGTCAGCTGACAGTCTGGTTATTGAAAGGAAAGCTTTAGCAAAGCTGGGTCTGTCTTCCAACATAATCAAGAATTTGCTAGCTTCCAAGAGAGACATGACTTTAAAGGCATATTCTGTAAGGGACCGAGTCATAGGCATTCTTGCATAGTGGTCACAGTTGGGCTGAGGTCTGCCCATCAGCGACAGGAGTCACTGGGACA